GCAAGATGGTACAGCAGTTCAGTCGCGCCAGAGAGCGCAATGAATATACCGTAAGGCCAACTTAGGTTAGACAATTAGCGTTGATTAAATGAGTCTTTTCGCAGCGATGACTGTTTGCCTCCGAGAGAGCTCAGATGACAAACGGCTAATTAGATTTATATAATGGCCGCTTTTCCACCCGTCGACGGCCGCATTTGGGTCGGTACGTCGACGATCAGGTTTTGCTCGTTGTAATGGCTGTTTTATTGCCATTTTATTCGCTACAGTGGTGCAACCGCATCGAATTTGTGCGGACTGAGGACACATATCGATGCAGTGTTGTGAGAGGAGGAAGTGCGTAGGCAAGAATTGCTATTGAAATGTGTGAATGACTATACAGTGACGGGCGTTTGTCCGACCGTGTAACCGACTTTCATTGTACTTTGTTGTAAAAATTTCGCGATACATTTGATTCTCAGTGGTTGCGTTCCACACACTTCAGGCGTTCCACGTACTTCAGGCGTTCCACACACTCAAACATCATCAAACATCTTACCTGGAGATCACCATCGCGTAACAAATGAAGCGAAGGCATGCCGTTAGATGTTGATGAGCCGCCTCTGAATCTTCGTGCACAAGGCCTGTAGTTCAAAATGCCCACCTGCTGTAGTTTCTGGACATCAGGGCTACGCCAGCGTAATTGAAAACTAAAGCACAGCATGAATACAGTGTAAATAGTTGTTCTAGTACGATGGAGGACGATTAACTGTTTCTGTTCACAAATTACGATGCGTTTTCTTGATCAGTGGTGCGGTTTTCGGTCATTGTTCATTTTATCGTTCACAGCAGCTGGAGCATGTCGAGCTATAAGAACAGCTTTCGTCTTAGACTGTTGTTGAGAATACATGCCGACAGATTAGACACTGGTGCTGTTGTGCTACGTGAGGAAATTCATCAGACAAAGGCATTCAGCAGGGTCACGGTGACGAGATCGTGATGGGGACAGCTTGTCATGGATTCAGAGTTCGGCCTGTCCTTCAAAATTTGGTTGAGCGTAGAGTCATTTAAACACTAATAGATCTTTGGAGGCGGAACCGAATATAGCTCAGTTTCTGATAGAATTAATCATTCTTAGAGGTCGTCGCTTCATTTCGTTGGGCGTAGGTGACCGTGGCAGTGACAGACGCGCGCCTTCCGCATATGGTTCATCAAAACCAACTGATGGCTTATCAGAGTCAGTTCTGCTGGCTTTGCAAGGACGGGAGGCACTGCATTTGCAAGCGTCATTCATTGGAGTGTAGAGCGCCAGCGCGGTCCGTATAATACATATCTCTACCAGTAAGTGGAGCTTCCGCTATGCAGCTTGAGGAAATTTCTTTGTGGAACAGTGACGAACAGTACAGTCTGTTTTGAGTTAGAGTTGGCACCCTGGTAAACTTGAACTCTGGGAAGTTGTCGAGTAGGGTAGATCAGAACGCATCCGCTTTTAGTATGGCATATTGAACCATCATTGCAAAGCTTTAGCTTGCTCATTGAATCTTGACCAAGGAAAGTTATATGGCCAGCAAGAATTTGGC